TGTTTAATATCCTCATGACAGTTTTTTTTAGGTCCCTAACACCAGTTGCAACATGGTGCGGGAGGAGAACAATACCAACACTGGCATTTAATTGCGTTTTTGGAGACCCGAACAGGGGTCTCCCAAATGCAGCACAATGCGGCTAAGCGGGTAGCTGCATCCAGTGAAGGAGCAGCTTTTACTGTTTTTTCATATTCATATTTCTTGTCGATTGCTTTAAATATGCCATTAGTGAGCTAGGGATTATTTAACCTTTCGCCAGTTACTTGCTTGGTGAGGAGAGGACAATAAGTATTGTAAAGGCTTAGAATTTTGGAAAGGAAGAGGCTAGTTAACGAATTAATATCATGTGTATTAATAAATTCAGATTCCCAGTTTACATTGTGGAGGGCATTTGTGAGATTTCCTATTGCCGCTTCACTGTGTAACCTAAGGGTAATTTTCTTGTTAGCTAGTGGTGTTATAGCCATATCCGCTACAAGGAAGGTAGGATAGTGGTCAGTTGTTCTGTCAGTGATTATACCTGGTGTAAGGGGGAGCTGTTATGTTGGTCCATAAGTGATCCAGGGTAGTCGTAGATGTTTGAGTGACTCGGGTGGGCTTGGTGATTGCAGGGATGAGCATACAGGAATTCATGCTGTTAAGGAAATAGTCTACTTGAGGGCTATTTTGTTGCCTTAGGTCAATATTGAAATCACCTCCGAGAACTATGTGATTTTTGTTCAGATTATTGTTTATGATAAGATTCCTTAAGTTGTCTGAGAATGCAACTACGTTATTATTGGGAAATCTATAGATGGCTCCAATAGTCAAGGAGAATTTGAGGGATTTAATTGAAAATTGAGCAAAAATATATTCACAGTAGTCATCTCTATCACTAATGACACTGTTGCAGATGAAGGTATCTTGGTAGTATATAGCTGTGCCACCACCTTTTTTGTTAGGCCTACAGTTGTGAATAGCTCTATAACCAGCTAAGTTGAAAAGTTTGGTATGGTCTTTACTTAGCCAGGTCTGTTAGAGCATAGCGCTGAAAGTAGTGCATTTACATCATCAAAATGCTTACCAAGTGATCTTGCTTACCGATGCTATCATCAAACTGCTTACCAAGTTATTGAATTCACTCATATTATTGAATATAACCCCTGTAAATAGGGTTAGGATTGTAACGGTTCTATTGTTACGTAAAGTATGGTGACAAATAAACACAGACACTAAGATACTATATATATATTTGGTCGAATATACAGAAGTACACAGGTGATACGTTGGTGTGAGTTGAGCGCACTGAGCGTTGGTAGAGTATCTCGCAAGTGTCTGCTCTAGACCACACTTGAAAGTAGACTAGTTAATGTTCGCTACACCGCTGCTTATATTGCTCGGGCATCTCACCGTGTTGCCCGGGCAACGCCTCACCTCATTCATCTCCAAAGGTTGACAGGAACATTAACACTATATTTGGAGCGAGTATATTATTGGGATAATCTACTCGCTACAGAACTCCCCCTCCCAGGGGATGAAAGGAAAAATACTTGATCAAGGAACTTAGCTGGTCGGCGAATTGTACGCCGCGTTACATAACCATCAAAGTTAACTTCCTCCTCTTCGCTGATGTCATCTAACTGGGGTCGTAGGGTGGGAGGTCGCACAGGATCGTCCGTCGTCGCAGGATCAGGTTGTGGTGCGGCTGGTAACTGGGGTTGTAGGGTGAGAGGTCGTACAGGATCGTCCGTTGTCGTAGGTGGCGGTGCTGCTGGTAACTGTGGTCGAAAAGTGAACTGCGTAGTCGGCGGATGTGTCTCTGGAGGGATGTCTGGGGCAGCGTCACAGTGTGCTGGTTTAAGGCGATCGATGGAGATGTTTACCCGCTGTCCTCGGCGTTCAATGGTGAAGAACTTCGGTGTTCGAGAAACCACTTTAAATGGTCCTTCGTAAGGTGACTGTAGCGGGCGTCGAACAGCGTCGACTCTTACAAACACGTGTTCAGTTGTGTGGAGCTCATGAGGCACATATGTAGCACGAGTTGTCGGTTGGCGTGGTGGTGTAGGCCGAATGTTTGTCATGGCCGCCCGTAATTTCTGGACAAAAGTGGGGTCTGGGGGTGTGATAAGTGGCGTTGGGGTTAAGAATTCGCCCGGAAGCCGCAGGCTAGATCCGTATACTAAGTCTGCTGCCGAGAATCCACTGCCCTCCTTCGTGGCCGAACGGATGCCAAGCAAGACTAATGGAAGGTTGTCGATCCAATCATCAGGGCGTGCTTGAGCTCTTAGGGCAGCTTTTAGTTGTCTATGAAAGCGTTCTACCATTCCGTTCGACTCAGGGTGGTATGCTGTGGTTCGGTTATGTGTGGTGCCGAGGAATTCCATAAGTTCCTTCCATAGATATGATTCAAACTGTCGTCCTTGGTCGGTGATGATGACAGAGGGGCTGCCAAAACGGGCGACCCATCCAGAGAGGAAAGCCTGGACCACTGACTCAGCTGAGATGTTGATTAATGGGATTGCTTCCGGCCATCTGGAGAATCGATCGATGCAGGTGAGTAGATAAGAATATCCTCTTGCCGACGGTAATGGTCCAACGATGTCTACATGCACCACCTCGAAACGGTCAGAAGGTAACGGAAACTGTTGAAGAGGGCTCTTTGTGTGACGATGTGTTTTCGCTCGCTGGCACTGGAGACATGAGCGAGTCCATCGTCGAACATCGGCATTGATTCCTGGCCATACAACACGCTCCGTTAGTAGTTTCTGGGAAGCGCGTACTCCTGGGTGTGCTAGGGAGTGAAATACTGAGAACGTTTTCCAGCGAAACTGGGCAGGAATGTAGGGCCTAAGTGCTCCCGTCCGTGAGGTGTCACAGATTATACTTCCGCCACCTTCCATGGGAATCTCGATGAACCGGAGAGCTGTGTCAGATGTTCGTAATCGCTGCAGATCAGGGTCTTCCCGTTGGGCCTTACTGATTACACAATAGTCCACCTGAGCTGGGTTTGTCACGACGTGGTTTATGGTGGGTCGAGACAGTGCATCGGCTATGACATTATTAGTTCCTTTGACATGACGGATATCCGAGGTAAATTGGGAAATAAATCCCAGGTGGTTGGCTACTCGAGGAGAGTGAGCATCACCCTTGGCCGCCAGCGCATAAGTGAGAGGTTTGTGGTCTGTGAGGATGTGGAAGTTCCGCCCCTCGAGAAAGTGCCGGAAATGTTGTATGGCTGAGTAGATGGCGAGCAGTTCCCTATCAAAAGTGCTGTACTTCTCTTCAGTGGGTGACAGGCGCGCTGAAAAGAATGCAATTGGGCGCCATTCTCCTTCAATGAGCTGTTGTAGTACAGCACCAATTGCTGTGTTTGAAGCGTCGGTAGAGAGATTGGTGGGAGCGTCAGACACTGGGTGTGCGAGTAAGGTGAATTCCGCCAGCTTGTTTTTTATGTCGGTGAATGCTGTCTCTGCCTGGGGAGTCCACTCCAACGGAAGACGGGACGTGAGTTTCCGACCATGTAAGAGGTCGTATAAGTGTCGCAAGATGTCCGAACAATGTGGGATGAATCGATGATAAAAATTCACCACACCAAGAAATTCTTGCAACTTCTTTGGAGTAGATGGGCGCGGGAATTCCTTGATTGCCTCGATTTTCTTCTCTAGTGGTTGGACCCCTGCTGCTGACACACGGTGTCCCAAGAAATCCAGCTCTGGAACATGGAAAATACACTTCTCGGAGTTGAGCTGCAAACCGAAGTTGCGCAGACGGGTGAGAAGGAGTCGGAGGTGTAGCAGATGTTCTGTTGGTGATGTACTGGCCACCAGCAGATCGTCAATGTAGGCGTAGCAAAAAGGAAGGTCCTTAACTACTTGGTCGATGAAGCGTTGGAATGTCTGGGCTGCATTCCGTAGACCAAAAGGCATCCGGACGAATTCAAACAGTCCAAAAGGTGTTGTGATCGCTGTTTTCGGAATGTCTGCCGGTTCCACAGGGATCTGGTGAAATGCCCGCACAAGGTGTTATATAGTGTTAATGTTCCTGTCAACCTTTGGAGATGAATGAGGTGAGGCGTTGCCCGGGCAACACGGTGAGATGCCCGAGCAATATAAGCAGCGGTGTAGCGAACATTAACTAGTCTACTTTCAAGTGTGGTCTAGAGCAGACACTTGCGAGATACTCTACCAACGCTCAGTGCGCTCAACTCACACCAACGTATCACCTGTGTACTTCTGTATATTCGACCAAATATATATATAGTATCTTAGTGTCTGTGTTTATTTGTCACCATACTTTACGTAACAATAGAACCGTTACATTGGTGACCTCGGAGTGACCAATGTAACGGTTCTATTGTTACGTAAAGTATGGTGACAAATAAACACAGACACTAAGATACTATATATATATTTGGTCGAATATACAGAAGTACACAGGTGATACGTTGGTGTGAGTTGAGCGCACTGAGCGTTGGTAGAGTATCTCGCAAGTGTCTGCTCTAGACCACACTTGAAAGTAGACTAGTTAATGTTCGCTACACCGCTGCTTATATTGCTCGGGCATCTCACCGTGTTGCCCGGGCAACGCCTCACCTCATTCATCTCCAAAGGTTGACAGGAACATTAACACTATATTTGGAGCGAGTATATTATTGGGATAATCTACTCGCTACAGGATTATAGCTTGTGTAATTAGTGCTAATTAGTTACGCCATTAAGCTAAGGAGAGACTTTAGTGAGTATATTGTTTGTACTCGCTACAAACTCTTGTATATAGAAAAAAAAGAGAAAAAAATAAGAAATTAACGTTCGTTAGTTTATGAACGTGGATATAGGAGATTGGCAATCCTGTGTACTCACAGCTTCGGAATACTTATATCATACATTTCATATATCAACACATAATTAAATATTATCATATATAATTTCCAATTGAAATATTTGCAAAACATTATTACATTTGTAGTCTTTCGAGAATTATGGAGAGGGTTCAGTTGGCAGCTCTGATTGTTTACCATTGTGGAGGGAGCATTTGAAGGTTGGGTCCAGCAGCGGGTAGACGAGCTCTACACACCAAGTGTTCCTTCTCCCTGAGGACCACACCACGCTCACTCCACCTACCATAGCCACCACACCTACACTGACCTAGGTATACATTAGTTATATGGCGGCTGTGACTGTACGGGGCCACAGTGAGAGGCTGCCACTGCACGGGGCCACAGTGAGAGGCTGCCACTACACGGGGGCCACAGTGAGAGGCTGCCACTACACGGGGCCACGGTGAGAGGCTGCCACTACACGGGGCCACGGTGAGAGGCTGCCACTACACGGGGGCCACGGTGAGAGGCTGCCACTACACGGGGCCACAGTGAGAGGCTGCCACTGCACGGGGCCACGGTGAGAGGCTGCCACTGCACGGGGCCACGGTGAGAGGCTGCCACTACACGGGGGCCACGGTGAGAGGCTGCCACTACACGGGGCCACAGTGAGAGGCTGCCACTGCACGGGGCCACGGTGAGTGGCTGCCACTGCACGGGGCCACGGTGAGAGGCTGCCACTACACGGGGCCACAGTGAAAGACTGCCACTGCACGGGGCCACGGTGAGAGGCTGCCACTACACGGGGGCCACAGTGAGAGGCTGCCACTACACGGGGCCACAGTGAGAGGCTGCCACTGCACGGGGGCCACAGTGAGAGGCTGCCACTACACGGGGGCCACAGTGAGAGGCTGCCACTGCACGGGGCCACAGTGAGAGGCTGCCACTGCATGGGGCCACGGTGAGAGGCTGCCACTGCACGGGGCCACGGTGAGAGGCTGCCACTGCACGGGGCCACGGTGAGAGGCTGCCACTACACGGGGCCACAGTGAGAGGCTGCCACTGCACGGGGCCACAGTGAGAGGCTGCCACTGCACGGGGGCCACAGTGAGAGGTTGCCACTACACGGGGCCACAGTGAGAGGCTGCCACTGCACGGGGCCACGGTGAGAGGCTGCCACTGCACGGGGCCACGGTGAGAGGCTGCCACTACACGGGGCCACGGTGAGAGGCTGCCACTACACGGGGCCACGGTGAGAGGCTGCCACTGCACGGGGCCACGGTGAGAGGCTGCCACTGCACGGGGCCACGGTGAGAGGCTGCCACTGCACGGGGCCACGGTGAGAGGCTGCCACTGCACGGGGCCACGGTGAGAGGCTGCCACTACACGGGGCCACGGTGAGAGGCTGCCACTGCACGGGGCCACGGTGAGAGGCTGCCACTGCACGGGGCCACGGTGAGAGGCTGCCACTGCACGGGGCCACTGTGAGAGGCTGCCACTGCACGGGGCCACGGTGAGAGGCTGCCACTGCACGGGGCCACTGTGAGAGGCTGCCACTGCACGGGGCCACAGTGAGAGGCTGCCTCTGGACGGGGCCACAATGAGACTACCACTGCACGGGGCCACAGTGAGAGGCTGCCACTGCACGGGGCCACAGTGAGAGGCTGCCACTGCACGGGGCCACACTAATTACCTAAGTGTAGTTACAGGATGAGAGCTATGCTCATGGTATCCTGTCTTCCCAGTACTCTGTTATATAACACTTTGAAATTATAGTAGAACCTCGAGTGACGAGCGGCTCCAGTTACGAGCATTTCGAGTAACGGGCAAGCCACTCGCAGAAAATTTGTCTCGAATGACGAGCTTTCGCTCGATTAACGAGCGTTCCTGCTGGTTCTCGGGATGTCACTCCGATGACAGTGTTGTTGTTGTTTCGCAAGACAAGTTTTCCAAAAGTATATTTAATGTCTAACAGGACGTGATCACTTTTCCCAAGGGAGGAAGGTACTGGATGTCAAATATCTCTTCTTCTTTCCTGGTGAATACTAGATCCAATACTGACTGTACATCTCCTTTCCTCATTCTTGTGGCCTGCTTGATGTGTTGATACAAGAATGTCTCCAGAATGAGGTTCACAAATCTGCATGTCCAAAAGTCCTCCGTTCTTGCTTCATAGGCCTCCCAGTCTATTGCTTTAAAGTTGAAGTCCCCCAGTATCAACAGTTGTGATTTATCTTTATCTGCTTGTACAATAATATCTCTCATGACCATTATGAGGCTCTCTCGTTTGTCATCCAGTTCTTCCTTTGTCCATGTGTTGCTGGCTGGAGGGCTGTAGGCATTTAAAATTATCAGCTTATCATCCTGATTCCAGACCTGCAATGCCATTATGTCAATGTCTCGAGGGTTTTCAAATATTAACACTCTTACCTTCAAGTGTTCTTTGACCAGCACAGCCACTCCTCCCTTCCTAGTTTTCCTGTCACGTCTCCAAACTGAATAGCCCCTTAGAAATATGACTTCATTTAACACTATCGCTCACTTTGGACACTGATCACATCCATTTTTTTTCTCTCGAGTCCTAGCCATGGACAGGACTCGCATCTACTACAAAAATATTTGTATAAAATTCATTTTTTATCCGATCAATCTCGGGATAGTTTCAAAATAAGCGCCTTTAGAATGTGCACAATTTGATACCAAAATGAAAGATGTAACACGAAACTTGATGTCAGAACACTTGAAAGATTATAAATACGTTTTTGGGTCTAAATTTTAAATTTTAAAATGTTAAAATTCTATTTATTGTGCTATTATTATGGGACTAGTTTTAAAATGCGCACTTTTATATTGCGAACAATTTGATACCAAAACGAGCGATGTAACATGAAAATTGATGTCAGAACACAGGAAAGATATAAATAATTTTGATGATGAGCGTCCAAAATTAAAATATTTGTTAAAATTCCAGTTATTGCTCTATTATTATGAGACTAGTTTTAAAATTTACAAAACTTAATCTTGAGACCTTCATTTTCTTGTTCTAATTTAATAACCTTTTCTTCATAATTCTTTAGCATGTCCTCAGTAATTGTTAACCTGCCAAGAAAACCACCATTCTGCTGTTTTTGCAGAAAACCTGCAAAACATTCCCTTGCTGGAGTACTGTCCTCCCATGTGGTGGTGGCCATCTTTGTTGACATTCTGCTCTTTTGAAAGATCAACTTTTCTAGCCAAGAATTTTCATTCACTAACAATTATTTCTTATCTCTTGGTTTATTTTCAATTTCCCTACACCTTCATGTATTCTGGAACACCACTTGCAACCCTCACCCCTGCTCCCCACACTTAGATAATTTGAATTATCCTGGAGCCTGCAGCAGTGTGACTCTTCAGTGTGATGATGCTCACTTGTCTTGTCATTGGTATGAATGTTTGTGCGCCTTCATCGTATATTTTGCATAATTTGGCATACATCTCATTTACTTCCTTTCCTAGCAACAAGTCTGTCCTATTAAACTCATTAAAGATTTTTCTGAGTTCCCCATAGTGTCCTCTCTTGAAATCGAGTTTATCAACTGTTTCAATGTCCCCATTCTCTTCTAGATTATATTGCAAAGCATATTTAATTTCCAACGGGACAGACAGGACAGGACAGAGGAAGGTACTGGATGTCAAATATCTCCTCTTCTTTCCTGGTGAATATTAGATCCAGTATTGATGAAACATTCCCTTCCCTAAATCTTGTGGCCTGTTTGACTTTTGATCCCCCCTCCCTGTCTGGCCCGTTGTCGCCATGAGGGGGCTTGGTGGGCGGCTGCCGGAGTGTGATGCCCCATGGTCCTGTCCTTTTGCAGCCTATGCTCCTGCTGCTGCCTTTACTAATTGTGCCAGACATCTTTTCCTTTTCCTCATGTTTCATTTTTCTCCCCTCTTCTCCTTTCAAATTGTCATTTCCCGCCGACCTTTTGCCTGCTTTGATCATTCTTTTGGCCTTCTTTTGTTTTGACCCCGGGTGTTTGAGGAGGCATACTCTTGCACCCGTAGAACTGTAGTATCAATGTCTCGAACGAGGGGACCCTTTTATTGTCAATCCTCCTTTCATCACTGAACCCGATCTCGATGGACTGACGGTTCTTTAGGTGGCAATTGTGGGGCTTATACTCACGACGCACCCCTGAGGAGCCCCAGCAAGATCCGCAATAAGTCTCTTGTTGGGTGTCATATCCTCTAATTGTGGGTCCGTGGTGGGTATGGGGGCACATTCATGAATGAAAGTCTTGCCTCACCTTTTCATGTCTATAAATACTGTTCCTCTTATGACTTCTCAGGCTCGTGGGGTGGGCGACCAAGTCCCCGAGTCGGACTGTGTTGGAACACTGGGCTCTGTAGCCCCCGCTACATTGGGCCCAGACCTAGCTCCTCCTCTGACCCTCCTGACTACTACCCCCAGCTCCATTCCCTCCTCTGTGGTTGGGTCGAGCCATATGCCCCCAGCGGTGACCACCTCGTCCCCTGGCGCGGCTCAGTCTCTCATCGTGACTACTGCACCTTTTAACCCCTCTCTCTCTGGGGGTTCTCAACGCCGTCCCCGCCACAGCCGTACTCGCACAATCCCTTCCCATACTAATACGTACCAAGCCTTGTTTGGTCCTGCTTCGTGAGCTAAATACTTTGATCTCCTCCCTCTGGATTCTACACCATCTGATGATTTCTCAGTCCATAAACACCTTGTTGATTCGGTGGATGCCTCTGTTACTTTTAAGCCCACCCGTTTAGGTACATGTGTCGTTGCTGCTCGTTCACTGGATGCAGCTACCTGCTTAGCCGCATTGTCCTGCATTGGGGAGACCCCTGTTCGGGTCTCTAAAAATGCTCGGTTAAATGCCAGTGTTGGCACTGTTCTCCTCCCGCACCATGTTGCAACTGGTGTTAGGGACCTAAAAAAAACTGTCATGAGGATATTAAACATATCCTCGAAGCCCAAAGCCATCCTGTCCTCCAGGTAGACACATTCACTCGACCCCCCTCGTGGTCGTCGCCGTCAGCCCCTTCGAGTTGTGAAAATCACCTTTGATAGTAGGACCCTTCCGCTCTCTATAATTCTTGCTGGTGCCAGATGCTCCGTTCAGGAGTACATTCCCTCTCCTAGACTTTGCAATAAGTGCTGGAAGTTTGGGCACGGTGTCCTCAAATGCTCAAGTACTGTGTATCTATGCCCCATGTGTGGGGCTGCTGATCACTCTAAGTCCGAGTGCACTTCTTCCCAGGCTCGCTGCCTCAATTGTGGTGAGGCCCACCCTACCTTCTCCCGCTCGTGTATACACTACAA